TTATTACTTAGTGAACTGTCAATAAATAAACTTTTAACCAATGTAAAGAAAATCATGGAGACATTCTTTTAGAACTAAGTCATTTTTTTTTTAAAGGACTTAAAGCAAAGCAAGCAAACAAATCAACAAACTCAGAGATGGGAGAACTGATTATTTATCTGCCACCAATGCTGGAATCCTTCCTAGGACATTCTGACATTTAATCAACCAGCTCTGTTTGAATGTTTTCAGGGATAAGGAGCATTTTCAAAAAGTGTGGGTCGTTCCCATTATTACACAGCTTAGTTACAAAGGTATTCCAAATGCACCCAAACTAGCTGTGGACCCATCAGAACCAGCTCTGCTTTCTGGGACAATATTGAATTAGTTTAGCATCTTTTTTTTTTTTTTTTTCATGTTCAGCTTTTCATCTATTTAAAACTAGCAATCTTTCTAGCAATCCCCTTTTCTTTTTTAAATACATATTTTTTACTGATTTCAAAAAGGAAGGGAAAGAGAGAGAAACATCAATGATTTGAAAGAGAATCATTGATCGGCTGCCTCCTGCATATCCCACACTGGGGATCAAGCCCGCGACCCAAGTATGTGCCCTGAGTGGGAATGGAACAATGACCTCCTGATTCATAGGCTGACACTCAACCACTGAGCAACACCAGCCAGGCCCCTTTCCTCTTCTTGATAAATATACCTATAACACTTAAAAGAACTGGGAAATAGCCCATACAATTCATATCCAGCTCCAATCAGTTCAACAAATGTTCATCAAGTCTCAGGTATTGTGCCAGGTTCTGGAGTACAAAGAGAAATGAGACATAATCCTTGCCCTGGAGGAGCTTATAATACAGTGGGGAGAAAAGCATATACAGAGATAACTTTAATGACAAGTGCTAAAATATAATCATGTTCAATAATAGTTACATACAAGATTAGAGAACAAGGAGTTAGGGTGAAAGATATAGAGAATACAACAGCAGGCAGGCATTGTGCCAGGGTACAAAATTATATCCAAATTCCTAGAATGAAAATTTTACATAAAATGATTTTTAAAAAATAGTTCAATCTAATCTAAAAAAATAAAATAAAATAAAATAAATTGATGGCACTTACTAGCTACATTGAGGGTAAAATGGACTGAAAATAACAAAATATCCTAATATATAAAAACCCAGGGTCCCGAAACCACTGAAGGCTCGACTGACCAGGAATCAGTCCTGACTGCCACTGCTGCGGGTGTGGCGACCCAGCAGTGTCTGCCCAGGGGGCAAGGATCAGGCCCAGAGAGAGAGGCATGTTCTGAGCTGCAGCCTCCATGGCAGCTGTTGATTAGCCTTTGCCTTTCTCTTTCTCTCTGGGCTTTGCCAGCAGCCGTGCCTCTGTTTCTCTCCAGGCCTCTTCGGGGCTGCTGATCAGCCCTGCCTCTCTGATCAGGCCCAGAGATAGGCCAGGAGATGCTGACTGGTATAGAAACCGACCAATCAGAACTAAATCTGGGTGAAGTGTGAGGAGCCAATGGCTCCCTAGGAGCCAGAACTTTTGATGATGACCAGCATAGAAATCAACCAATCAGAACCTAATCTGGGTGAACTGTGAAGGCAGAACCTAAGTTGGGGGCTGAGAATGGGTTTTAAGGGCAACAGGTGTTTGGTGCAAGGTGTAAGAAAGTGGTTCAAGTTTTCAATGACCAATTTGGCAATATAGTGCATATGGCTGGCTATCAGTCCAGATATAGGAATTATGTGTTTTTGTCTGCAAAGAGAATCTCCTCCTGCTGAAAAAGGCTCCCTCCCCCATTTAAGCAATCCTATTCTATATAATCTATCTATACTAATAAAAGGGTAATATGCTAATTAGACCAGGTCGACCTGCCATCTTCCAAACGTCTGACTTCCTTCTGGACAAAGCCATGGTGGTGGGGGCCAAGGCAGAGGCAGTTAGGGTGAGATCAGGGTGGCAGGGGGTTAGAGGCAATCAGGTCAGCAGAGGAGGGCAGTTGGGTGAAAGATCAGGCTGGCAGGGGAGGGCAGTTGGGGGCAACCAGGCAGGCTGGGGAAGGCAGTTCAGGGCGAGATCAGGCCGGCAGGGGAGGGCCGTTGGAGGCGAGATCAGGCCAGCATGGGAGGGCCATTGGGAGTGAGATCAGGCCAGCAGGGGATGGCAGTTGGGGGCAAAGGGATCGGCAGGGGAGGACAGTTAGGGGTGATCAGGCAGGCAGGCAGGCAGGCAGGTGAGCAGTTAAAAGCCAGTGGACATCCCCCAAAGGGTCCCCAATTGGAGTGGGTGCAGGCTAGACTGAGGGAACCTCCACTCCATGCACGAATTCCGTGCACCAAGCCTTTAGTATATTCATATTAGAGATCAAGTATATAGTTAAGCAATACATATTTGCTAAAATAAAATATTCCAAAGATTTCTTAAAATCAATGACATTATATAGATTCCTAAAAAAAAAAAGAGAGACTTATTTTACTGAATTCTGGTCTGAAGAGTAAAGTATTGTTTGTCAGACAGAAATTATTTTGTATGACATCCAAGAAAGTGTTCCTCTCATTCAATAATATGCGTTTCCATGAACATTGAAAGAATAAAAACATGAATGTTTAGGATTTCCAGAGCAATGACAACTACAATTTATTGTTGGAATGTTATTTTTTTTTTTAAGCCATGGTGAAGTATTTTATTTATGGGGCAATAGAGAGTCACAATCTGATCCAGTCAGTCACAAAAATAAGCCACAAATACAAAATTACATTGGAAAAGGCAATTCTTCCAACATACCCAAATGCCTAGTCTTCATAAGCTCAGCCATTCCCTCCAAGAGGATCTTGGAACTCAATGGACCAAGCCACCTTTTGAATGGGTGGGGAAACTAAGGATTGGAGTGAAAAAATAATCTGCCTCAAGGAATGACTTAAAATTAGTTACAAAGGATAAGTAGAAGCAAAGCTCCTGATCATACAGAGCTGAGATGCAATATTTGGCTCTTAAGCTCAATTCAAATCTTTAGCTTTAGAACTTAGCTATGTGGATCATGAGCAAGTTCTTTATGCCACTAACTGTTTAAAAAAATATGTTTTTATTGTTGACAATATCACAGATGTCCCCCTCCCCTTTACCCTTTTACCCTCTATGCTCAGCCCCTATCCCTCCCCACTCCTCTAACCGCTGCCAGGTCTTCACCACACTACTGTGTCTATGGGTTATGCCTCTCTATATATATAAAATCCTAAGTGACCAAACGGCCGAACAACTGGCCGAAGGTCGCTATGATGTGCACTGACCACCAGGGGGCAGATGCTCAACGCAGGAGCTTGTGGTCAATGATGGGTGCCAGATCCCAGGCTCACGGCTGGCAAGTGCAGCTGAGGGAGTGCGAGCCTCTCCTGTCTCCACCTCAGCGCTAATGCAGCAGCTGCAGCAGGAGCAGCAGGGCTGGGATGAGTGGGAGCAGCTAGGTGCAAGGACCAGGGGCCGGCTCCTCCCTGGCAGCCTGCCACCTTGCGCACTACTCCATCCCCCGAGGGGTCCCGGATTGCGAGAAGGTGCAGGCCAGGCTGAGGGGCCCCACCGGTCCTCTAGTAAGTACATAATTTCTTTGGTTTATCTCTTCTCTTAGTTACCACATCAGTAAAATGGAATGATAAAGTGTTTGGTGGAGGGTAAGATAGCCTGGGCAATTTGCTTAGCTCTCACTAAATGTAGCCAAGGGAATGTTAATATTTTCCCTGATCAAGAAACCCATTAAAGATAGACTGCAGGTGAATAATACTTAAAGTGAAATAGTTCAGATCTCAAGTATCAGAGTTGAATTTTATTAAAACTGTCATCTTTCAGTTATTTTGAACTGTTACATATAAGAAATAAGATTAAAATTTCCTCTGACCATACATTCTGTGTAAGACCCAAAGTGCATGTCAACCTTCTCTGTGAATATTCCTTTAAACCAGCAATTTTCAACCTTTTTTTTTTTTAATCTCATGGCACATGTAAACTAATTATTAAAATTCTGAGGCACACCAAAAAAAAAATATTTTTTTGCTGATCTGACAAAAAATTAGGTATAATTTTGATTCATTCACACCAGATTGTGTTCACCGTTGTTGTTTTTGTTTTGTTTTTTGTTTTAACTTGACATTCTAAGGGAAAAGAGGTCAGTACCCTGACTAAATAGCCAGGTATTGCATGCTTTAAAAATTCTTGAATTTTTTAAATTCAAGAATTTAAATGCAGCGCACAGGTTGAAAATTGCTGCTTTTAAACTAATAGCATTTACTTAGAACTCCAGTCAATGCTGAAAACATGTTCAGCACTATGTAACTTCCTTACAACACATATAAATATAATTCCCATATTTTGTATTTAAATGTGTAGCTATCTCTAATTAACACTAATTTTTCATTCTTGATATTGGGATTCTTTTTAATGGAATAAGATAACAGATAAATGTGATAATGTTTTTCTTAGGTCTATTTTTTTAAACCATTTGGTCATTTTTCTCTGCTGTTAAGAGGACACTGTTTGTCTACGCCTGAATGTTCACAGCTCATAAAACACCACTCCCACCAAAGCAGTCCCCGCTAACAGGGATGATTAGGATAAAAGCGGAGGGAAAGGATTTCAGAATCACCTGGAGAGTTTTCTAAACCAGCAGTCACCGTCACCGGCCTCTCGGACCTCACGGACCACCAGTTGCTGTATCTAAACAGTACATCACCACTATCACAGCTACAGAAAGTGAATGTTTTAGAGATGTGTTGCGGGCCTAATAGCAAGACTGAAATTAAGGGTTTACCTGGAACTGATTTAGAAGTTATTGTGCAGGCAGGCTGCTTAAAAACCTCACAAAAAGAGAGTAATGAGGACAACACGCAAGGTTTCTAAGGCTCCCTGTGACTGACTACACGGGTTCAGGTTCCCAGCTAGTCCTGTGGTAAGGCAAGAAACCAAAAAGGAAATCATTTCCATCACATCTATGCATAAGCCATGCACTTTCAACTGCTTACCTCCAATATTCTGGATTATTATGGTGCCTGCCACCACCACCTATAAAAAAACAAATATATTTAGAAGATGAAAGGGGAAATAATACAAAGGATTGGTATTTTATTAAAATCCAATAATCATTACTAAAAAACAGAGGCAGAAATCCAGAGAAATTGAAATAAATTTTGCCAGCCATTTGTAATACATAAAACTAATAATCATTACATAAAAAGCCTTTCTTTAATAGGTCCATGGTTACTATAAAGAATACTTTTGAAAGTTTTCTTGGCAGTCATTTTTAAACAGTTAAAAGTGTTAAAAAGCTAGTAATCAGTGGTTATCAAAGTACCAAAAAGTTTAAATTGAATCTATCTGGTCTCATTCTCCATTTTTACTGGTTTACCAGATTGCTTTAGTAGGTAGACTGAGACAGCTTGAGGTGTGCTTTGCCAAGGCTGTACTACCTAAAAGGAAGCGATACAGTCTTCTGAACCTATCATCCTCGCATACATCAAGGCTTTCCACAGTTTTTGTCCCAGGGAATAATAATCTAGAGCAGAAAACTTTAGAGCCCATATATTCTCACATCTGAAAATTTAGCAAAGTGGCAAACTCAATAATACGCAGAGGGCTGAGTGTAAGACAATAGGAGGCTATAAAGACTGTAGTATCTGTCCTAGCTGGTTTGACACAGTGAATATAGTATGTTGGCCTGTGAACTGAAGGGTCCAGGGTTAGATTCTAGTCCGGCCTGGGTTGCAGGCTCCATCTCCAGTGGGGGGTTTACAGGAAGTAGCTGATCAATGATTCGCTGATCTTTTTTTTTTTTTTCTTTTTCTCTCTGATCTTTGATGTTTCTGTCTGTCTGTCTCTCTCTTCCTTCCTCTCTGAAATCAGTAATATATAGAATTGGTGAACTACTCCCCTCTCAAAATGGGCAGCTGCTACTTAGCTCTGGTTAGTTGCTGGCATATGGGCCTGTGGATCCAAGGCAGCTAAATCTTCCTATTTCTAAAAGTCAAAAATTGAATTCTTTAAAATTTCATAACTTTTAGTTAGCAATCAGTTAAAATAAAAAGGATCTGAACAACAACAAAAAAATATGCTTGAGGACTAAGTTCAACCTGTAGGATGCTAGCTTGTGATCACTGATGAGACTCCTGGGAAACAGCCGTTCATCCATTCTTGGTAATCAGATGTACTCAGAAGAAACATCCTGCTTCCACTTGGGCCTTTCCATCTCTCAAACAAATCTTGGTGGATCTGCACCCCCAATGGATGTTTGGAGCTGACTATCTAGGGTCATGTAGTCCTGCACGATTGAAAACAAATCACCCTTCTAGGAATCCCATCTGTGGCACAGCCTGTTCCTATCCTGGGAACAATCTAAGTTACTGAGGCCTAGAGGCCTTGGAGTCTGCAGAACAGGACTAATGACAGGAAAATTTGGAGACATGTCTTTGAAGATGTGGTCATTGCCTCTCTCGCATTTTTCAGAAAATAAAAATAAGAAAACTTTGCATATAAACCCATTTAAAAATTAGTTCCAAAATTCAGTTATTTGTGAAAAAACTATTTTTTAACTCTACCTTTCATTCAGTCGTATATAATAACTAGAGTTCCGGTGCACAAAATTCATGCATGGGGGCAAGGAGGATTGTCCCTCAGCCCAGCCTGCATCCTCTCCAATCTGGGACTCCCTGAGGGATATCCGACTGTCCGTTTAAAATCCTTCTCACAATCTAGGACTGCTGGCTCCCAATTGCTCGCCTGCCTGCCTTCCTGATTGCCCCTAACTGCTTCTGCCTGCCAGTCTGATCACCCCCTAACCACTCCCATGCCAGCCTGATTGATTTCTAACTGCTCTCCTGCCAGCCTGTTTGCCCCCACCCAGCCTGGTCACACCTAACTGCCCTCCCCTGCAGGGTTGATCGCCTTCAACTGCCCTCCCTTGCAGGCCTGGTCCCTTCCAACTGCCCTCCCCTGCTGGCCATCTTGTGGTGGCCATCTTGTGTCCACATAGGGGCAGGATCTTTGACCACAGGGGGGCAGCCATATTGTGTGTTGGAGTGATGGTCAGTCTGCATATTACTCTTTTATTAGATAGGATAGAGACCTGGTGCATGGATGGGGGCCAGCTGGTTTGCCCTGAAGCGTGTCCTGAATCAGGGTGGGGGTTCCCTTGGGGCGTGCGGAGGCCTGAGCAAGGGGGCTGTGGTGGTTTGCAAGCCGGCTATGCCCCCAAGTGACCCAAGTGGAGGCCCTGGTATCTGTAATATATTTAGTTTCTATAATTAAAACTTTGTAGCCTGGATTGCAGCCAAGCTTCCTGTTCACTCAGTGGCGGCAGCTGTTTCTGTTTGGATTTACCTTCTATAACTGAAACTTTGTAGCCTTGAGTGGAGGCTTAGGCCAGCAAGGGCAGGCGGAAAGCTTGGCTTCTTCCATTGCTGGGGAAATGCCTCCTTCCTGCTCTCTGTGGCTGTAGCCATCTTGGTTGTGTTTATTTGCATACTCACTCTGATTGGCTAGTGGGTGTGGTTCTTGGGCATGGCTTGTGAGTGGAATGATGGTTAATTTGCATATTACTCTTTTATTAGGTAGGATGGAATTTATTTTCTATTAATATTGTGCAAAAAGTAATAATATCAACTTACTGGTGATTATTTTTCTGTTTTTTTTTTTGTTGTTGTTGTTGTTTGTTTGTTTTTTTAGCATTTAAGATCTAGAAAGGCTATCTATCTATCTATCTTCTTGTCCACCACAGTGCATGACATATGGTATTTGCTCAAAACATTTGTTTGATTAATAAATAAATCAATTTAGAGACAATTCAAAATACCTTCCTTAAAAATTTAAAAAAACATTTTAAAAATATTCTTTAATTCTCAGAACAATGTTATTCTATTATATATAATATCACTATCCATATTATATTTGGAAGAAGGTAACGAAAGTTTCAACCCAATTGTGAAAATGAAGAGGAAATATTAAAAGACAGACAAACAACTCCTTATTTGGAGTGCCCTCTATCTGTATACCTGCCTACTTCATACCAGATGCAAACATTAAAATAATGCAAATATTCTAGAGTTCTGGGAAAGGGACTCAACAATCCATGCTCCTCATTGGAAAATAACACTGATGATACTTAGAGTCATGTTATAGAACTTATTCAATTTATTGGAGAGTTTTCTTATAACCTTTTCTTCTTCCTTGGTTAAACTGAATGCAGGAAACTGATCATGATTCTAGCAAACATTCTGACCTTTAGGAAAGAGAAACTGTTACTAGGATATTAACAAAACCCTTTATCCTCGAGTACTAAGTAATTATTGTATTCTCCATTTTGCACTTTTGTATTTTATTCCTTTAACACTTTAACAACCAAGTAAATATGAATATAAATATAGGTGTTCTCCCTATTACATAGATCTTTTTCCTTCTAGACTTGCTTCTTATAGATTAGTTCAGCCATCTAAAATTATAGTATTCTTTTAGATTAAAAACAAAATAAACATACAAAACCATAAAAAAACAGATTTACAAATAAAAATAAAAAGGCCTATTTTGAACCAACATGAAAATAGGTTTTAGAAGTATGTTAGCTCTTGAGAAATTAAAAAAAAAAAAAAGTACTCTGGCACTAACAATATTTACCTTCTGATCACCTATGGAAGACAGTGTTTCCCCTACCTGTTAAATTAGTTTAGTATATCTATCACAAATTAATGCCCAACAAATATTGCTGTTAGTTCTCTTATTCTGAGGACGAAAAAGCAGTTTAGAGTCCTGTAAGTGACTGGGGAGAAATAGGCCCCTCTATTTCTCTGGGCATTTATTTCCTCACCTATAAATGAGGAGATAGCTACAAAATCTTTCAGCATTGATAAGCTCTTAAATAATATGATCTTCTAATTAGCTGTTTTGTGTACAGTCATAATATAATTTTTAAAAATATATATTTTATTGATTTTAGAGAGGAAAGGAGAGGGAGAGAAAGATAGAAACATCAATGATAAGAATCATTGACCACTGCCTCCTGCACTCCCCTACTGGGGATCGAGCCTCAACCCGGGCATGTGCCCTTGACCAGAATCGAATACAGGATCCTTCATTCCACAGGTTGACACTCTATCCATTGAGCCAAACTGGCAAGGGCTAGTCATCGTATAATTTTAATCCTATGCTTCTTCTCCTGTCTTTATGGGTATATACTCAGAGAATATAATAAAAATTAATAAGGAAAACTTAAAATATACCACTGCTACTATTTTAAAATTATCCAAGTCATTGCTCTCCTTCATTAGGGTGAAAAGTACTAAAATATTTAAGTGTTAAATTAAGTTTATTCATGCATTTTTAGGAAGGGCATATAGAGATTTCTTCTCTTTCACTTCCTGTTCCCATCATTTTGTCTTTACTTTAATTTCCTTTTATTTCTCTAATGTCTTCCCCTAATATATACTTGTCTTTTTTAATTGGAAAGGGAAGGAAAATATGCCTCTCTGAATTTTGGAAATAGCAAGGAGGAAAAAAAAAAAATTACCTTTCCACATAATCCAAATGCAAAGAGTCCAAGATCTTCATAAGATGTCACAGCTGTTAAGAGAAATTGTACTTTTCATTTTTACACAAAACTCTTTGTGTGCCAAGTCTTAAAGGGAAGAAAGTAGAAGTAACCACTTTTGGGACACCTTTGAAGACTTGTGGTCTGCAAGGATAGAAGAGTCCTCTTAGAAGAAGTAGAGCTTAACAGACCCCAAGGTTCTCTAACCACCACCCAGGCTGCATTAATCCATATGGAATAATCACTCAAGAACAAACCTCATTTTTCACTAAACAGTACTTGCCTACCGCACTGTCCAAATGTAAGTTTTTGTTGGCAAGTTTCTGAAAACTGCATATGTAAATAAAGTTAAAGTATGAAAAGTTGTATCATACTTTCAAAAAAATTTACGTTCCAGCTACCTAAGATAATGACACTGTATTCATGACAGAAAAAATACCTTTACTTATCCCACAATTAGTAGGGCATACATTTTCTTTTTTCATCATAAAAGAGTATAAAATTACATTCCCATTTCATATGTCCAAAAAATGAGGACATAGATAAAAATTCAATGGTTCATAAAAGCACTACATTTTTCCTCAACCCATATAGCTTCATGCTCTAACTAGAGACACCAATGGTAAAAATAAGAAAAGTAAAAACATTTGTATAATCCTAGTGTGGACAAGTGCTTAATCTCATACTTATTACACTAAAAAAGAAGCACACTAGCAAATCTCAAGGCTTGGTATAGGAACACACATTTCCTATTGAAACAGAGATATGGCTCATCACTACTTAAAGCAAGTTTTCATATATCCCCTCAAACTATGTATGAATTTTCTTTAAATTGCCACTAAATTAACAAAAAAATCTTCTATTATTTCATAAGCAAGACTTCTAGGTATGTAAACATAAGGATTTAAATACCATCTATGGCCTTTACAAGTTATAACTATATGATCTAAAAGAAAACAGTGAAATGCTGAAAAAAAAAGTTTTAATAATTAAGAACAAAAATACTCACTTTTCTTGCCATGTATAGATTTAAGATTTTTAACTTTATTATCAGGGTTGATCAAAAAATTTACAAACTTTTAGGATGATACAGATATATACATCCTACCAAACATAACAGGCAAAGACAAATTAGTTTTGAATTGGAGATATATAAGTTGATTTGATAGGAAGCTTCATGCTTTAACAAGAAAAGACTTCAGTAATAATTATACAGGAGTTGATTTTAAGTACTATACAGTAAGCTCTTGAACAACACCATGGTTAAGGGCGCCAACTCCCAGGCAGTCAAAAATCTGTGTATAACTTTTGACTCCCCAATAACTTAACTGCTAATAGCCTACTGTTGACCATAAATCTTACCGGTAAAGAAAGTCCACTTTGTATATGTATTACATACTGTATATGTATTATATATTGTGTTCTTACAATAGAGAAAAAGTATTATTAAGAAAATCATAAGAAAAAATAAATATATTTATAGTACTATATTGATACTGTAAGTTCAAATCATCTGTTTATAAGATGCATCATCTGTCAGTATCTACATCAATACTGTCTTATATGATGCAAAACACTATAGATGTTAATGTATTAATAACTCTAGGAACCAAAAATGAAAAAATAGTGTGAAAAAGAAATTCCTATTTATTTACAGATATAAGTTCCTGCAATGATAATAAAGCAGCAGCAATATGATTGTTTTATGGTAGCCTACCCTAGCTGACACAATTGCTTCACAGTAGTAAGAAAAATCTCCAAAAATTTTCCAACATAGTTATTGAAAAAATCTGCATACAGTTGGAAAACAAAATGGCAGAATAGGTAAACACCTGAACTGCTGCCTCACACAACAATTTCAAAACTACAACTAAAAGACAAAACATACATCATCCAGAACCACAGGAAGGCTGGCTGAGTGGAAATTCTACAACTAGAAGGAAAAAGAAAAGCACACTGAGACTCATAGGGCTGTGGAAGGCAGAGGTACAGAGGTACGTGCACAGAGAGGGTTGGCAACTGAGTACGCAACTGGCTTTCTCAATCGGAAGGGAGACAAAAGATCCCAACTGCTCGAACTCCAGTTCCGAGCAAGACTCTAGGGACCCAGACTCACAAGGGGAGAAATTGGACTGTCTGGCAGCGGGTGAAACTCGAGGGAGGCTTTCTCTCAGAGGTGCTTGCAGCGATTACTGTGGGACACTGAGACCCAGGGCCACTTAGGGCAGGGCTGATGAGAAGCCATTGCTGTTTACTTTGCCCTGAGATCCCATCCCATGAAAACATTGCTGCTTGCTCGGCCCTCAGACTTCACCCATCCAAGCTGAGCACAGAGGCTTTTGCTTATGATTAGCCTGGTCCCTTGAATTCTAAACTTACCTAACAAACTGCAGCTGAGTCAGTGAGACCCAGAACATCCAAAAGAAGGCCCAAGGCCGCACAGCAGCCTGCATTGCTTCACAGTTGGGCCTCACCAGGGCAACTCCAAAACCCAAACAAAGAAGAGGAATCTGCAGATCTTTCATTAGCTGCTGCTGGGTGGCCTCAGGCAGAGGCTAAAGTAGCACCTCCTTGAAAATCCAAGAGCCAGTGTACCCAGGGTCAGAGTGGGACCATCCAGATTACAACTCTTCAGATCCATAAGGGACACACTCAGAGGGCAGACTCAGTGAGCACCAAAGCCCTACTGAAGCAAGTCTTGTCTCATAAGGGTGTCTCCAACACAGAAGTCCTCCCATTGTAGACACAGCTGATCCTCACAGCCAATTGGCCTGGAGATTAATTCCTCCCAGTAATACCAATAACAATCAAGGCTTAACTTCAACAAGACTGTGCACAGAGCCATAAAGGGGTGTATCAAGAATGTCCACCTCAGGTAACTGGGGAGGCTAAGACACTTCTTCCTATAGGACACCTAGCACACAAAGCCACTCTATCAACTCAGAGAAGCAGCCAAACTGTGGAGACAAAGAAACAGGTCACAAATGAAAGAAATGGAGGAAACCAAACAACTGAATTTAGAGTTCAAAATCACGGTTATAAGGTTTTTCAAGAATTTTCTAGAAAAGGCCGATAAATTTAGTAAAACCCTCAAGAATATGAAAAAGGAACAAACAGAAATTAAACATACACTGACTGAAATTAAAAAAAATAATATACAGAGATCTAACAGCAGACTAGAAGATTGCAAGAATCAAGTCAAAAATTTGAAATACAAAGAAGCAAAAAACACCCAACTGGAAAAGCAAAAAGCAAAAAGAATCCAAAAATACAAAGATAGTATAAGGAGCAGAATTACAAAACTAAGAACTGAAATCTTTTCCTCCTATGGAAAATGCTGATATTCTTTTGTTCCAAATACATGAATGTCATCACAAAAGTTCGTAATTATTTGAAGCAATAAATCTTTACTAATTTAATATTCCTAAACACAACTGAGTGTTAATGTTGTATAGGGGCACAATTTCTTATATTAAACACAAGGGGCCCAGTGCAAATCCATACACCTTGAAAGGAACTGTGGGCTGCGAGGCTGCAGTGGGCACAGGGGTGGGTCTTGTCCCATCCTCTGTGCCTCCACTCAGCCCCTCCACCTCTGGCCCCCAGTCCCTTGTCTGCCTGCAGCCCACTCCCACCACCGTCGCTCCCATGTGCTAATGGTGCTAGCCCTACTTGCACCCACTGACAGCGCAAAGTGATTGGGGTCAGCACCAGCAATTTTTCAAGCAGGGCAGGCACAGTCAGTGGGTGCAAGTGGCGACTGCTGCCCTGATCACCCCTCACAAACAAGAGGAGATAGAGAAGCCCTCAGGGGTGATCAGCACCAGCAGCTGCTGCTCGCATCCACTGATGGTGCTAAATGATCAGGACTGGCATCAGGTACCAGCAGCAGATGCAAGCAGTGGCTCTGGCACCGGCTGCAGGTGTGAGTGGGGCTGGTGCTGGCAGTGAGTGTGAGCAGCAGGTGCAGGCACAGCACCAGGTGGGACTGCAATGCATGGGAGCAAAGAATTTTCAGTAACCACCAGAGACTCGCCCTGATGGCAGTGACTGTCGCCCCGCCCTGGTCTGGCACCCCCACTCACCTGCTCCAACATCCTGCCAAGACCAATGCCCGCCATGTTCTGCACACGCCCTCTAGTGGTCAGTGCATGTCATAGCCACTGGTTGTTCGGTTGTTGGGTTGCTACGTTGTTCCACCATTCGGTCTATTTTCATATTAGCCTTTTATTATATAGGATTCCAAAATTTTGGTATTCATTTATAAAATCAGAACATTTCTAAATGTTAGCTTCTATCTAATTTGGCATTGGGAAGGTAATATTATATAATAAAAGGCTAATATGCAAATTGACTGAACAGTGGAATGAAAGGTCTCTGTGACGTGCACTTACCACCAGGGGGCAGACGTTCAATGCAGGAGCTGTTCCCTGGTGGTCAGTGAGCTCCGCAGGGGGAATGCTGCTCAGCCAGGAGCTGGGCTCATGATTGGGGATCAGCGGCAGTGGCGGGAGCCTCTCCTGACTCCTCAGCAATGCTAAGGATGTCCAACTGCCAGCTTAGGCACTCTCTCTGTGGGCCTAAGCCATCAGGCAGACATCCCCTGAGGGTTCCCGGACTGCGAGAGGATGCAGGCCGGGCTAAGGGGTCCCCCTCCATCCCCGAGTGTATAAATGTCATGCACTGGGCCTCTAGTTTTATTATATACTATGTGTATGTGACCCAAGTCTCCAGCAGGTCACTGATCTGTCGCTACAAGCAATGAGATTAAAGAAACATCATTGTTTGTTTTTTACATCCTTTTTTAAAAATCCTCACCCAAGGATATTTTATTGTTTGTTCTTTTTAAAGAGAGGAAGTGGGGAAGGAGGATGGAGAGAGAGAGAGACAGACATTGATGTGAGAGAAAAACATTAATCTGTTTCCTTCCATACATGCCCTGACAGGGAATCGAACCCACAACCTTTTGGTATACCAAAAGACTCTCTGACAAATTGCACCACCTAGCCGGGGTAACATCCCTCTTTTGTAT